ATATGGTTTATGAATTCAGCTTTCACGGTTAAATAACACACAATATAATATGAAGAAAAAAAATCACTACAAAAAATGTTAAATATATAAAAAAAATGTTATTATAGATATAATATATATAGGATATATAACTATTTGACATATACTTGTATATGATTTTAGTATTAATTTTAAAAAGATTTAACAACATATTTTATGTCTCTATAATTTATACATATATTTTTTCAGTAATATATTAATATATATTGTATATGTAGTGTAAGTAAAACAAATTTAAAATAACAAATATTATATTATTAAAAAATGTGTGTCGTTATATGATAATTATTTTTTATGAAATTTTGTATGAGTAAAAAAACTTGATTACTCATGTTTTTAACTTCCTACTTAACCTCTTTTTATTTTTTTATTATTATTCTTAATTTAAAATTAAGGCTTCTACAAATAAACACCCACTTAAAACACTGGCAATATTCTCATCCATAATCTTCTTAATTTATGTACATCAATAATTAAAACAATTTCATTTTCTTTATAAGACTATCCTTTAATTATTCTCTACAGTGAATTAATATTCTAACTATTTATATTATTCTTCAATCATCCTCTTTAGTTGTTTTCTTTTGCACTTTTTTAAAATATTAGTTCCATGAATTAAAAAAATCACTGAAAAGGTAAATTAATAAATTTGTTTACGGATCACTAACTAGATAATATATTTAAATATCCTTTAAAGTTTATGGGTCACTAATTAGATAATATATTTAAATATCCTTTAAAAATGATATATAGAGTTTATTTAGAGAAACTTCCTCATAAACACTTCTAAAAGAAAAGAAAAAAGTGAAATATATAATTATATATTTTTATAAGTTAAAATTATTTTATAAATAAATTAATTTGCATAATTTTTTATATTAGTTTTTCCTAAAACTTATTTTTAATTTATGTATGAATTAGGTTTAATTTATAAAAAAATCATTTTTTCCCTTTAAAATATTTATGGAAAAGTTTATAAACAAACCCTAATTTAACTACGTTATTTCAACTGAATTTAACGACACATGTAAAATTATCTTAATGATAAGATTTAAAGAAAAAGAATTTTATATTTATTCAGTTATTTTTACTTTTTAATATTTTAATTATCATTGAATTTTTAAAAATATTTAAGATATGTTAGGATAAAAAAATTTATTAAATAGTTTGAAACTATATCATGGTTCATATATTAATCTCGATGTAACATTTATTATAATGTTATTTTTTTAATGTATTACAAAGATAGTGACCTAAGAGCATCTCTAATGAGAGTTGCTTATAAGTAACCTCTGTACCATATCACTTCAGATCAGCTCTAGCTCATTTTATGGGTTGCTTAAATTTTAGTAAAGTTATTTGTAGAAGCAACTTTATTAAAATTTAAACAACTCATAAAATGAGTCAGAACTGATGTGACAATGATGTGACACAGGGAGTTACTTATAAACAATTTCATTACAAATGCTCTAACTCGTGGACATATGGTATTCTTCTATTACCTAATAATTTCGGAAAGGGGTCTCTTTATCTACGAACTTACACAAAAATATTTTAAAATAACTCAATAGCTAGGTCACACAAATTTATAATTTAATTGCTTGATATCAAACTCCACCACGATGTCTTAAAATAATTTTTAATGACAAAAAATTTAAAATAAAAGAAAAGTGTTATAGATAAAGAAAATTTTCAATTCAATTTTTTTGTTTTTGGTTTCAAAATTGACAATTCAATCAAAACTTAGCTTCAAATTTTGTAGTTGAGGATTTTATCAAGGAAACAAGTTTCATATAGTTGTTTTAAAATAATATCGTATAGGAAACTGCAAATTAAATCTCTGATTTTGATGAAGGAGAGAAGGAAACAAAAGAACTAAACATACTTTATAATTTACTATTTTTTATTTTGTTAATTTATTTAAAATGTCTTTTTTATCTCAAATAACTAAATATATCATTTTGTATTTATCAACTAATTTATTTGTTTATATTATTAATTAAATACTTAATTCAATCCCTAAATTTATAAACTTTCAAGTTTCTAAATCTAACTTATTTATAATTTTTCAGTTAGTTTTACTAATAAATTCATACTAGTAAGTAACTCTTATTCTTTTCGGCTTCCTAGACAAGTGTGAATAAAGGAAAAATAATTTGAATCCAGCATATATATGTTCGAATATAATACCAAATTAATGTCCCTGTCAATAAATCAAAAGATGCTCTCATCCTCCATTTCTCAAAGATAAACATTCAATTAATATTCCATTGATCTTATGATATGCCCCTGTCAATACATCAAAAGAAAATATGCCTAAAATAAAATATTAAATAATATCATTCTCTGCTGAAAGAAAATATTTTATTAACCTTAAAAATTCCTGGTCACTTTGCTTCCAATTCGAAGGTTGAGAATTCCACAAAGCAATGATTTATTAGCTGTCATTCCTTCTGTGATGTTTCAACAACAGATATATTCTATACGGACAAAGAAAAAATTAAATTGAAATTTATGTTCAACAAAAAAGAAATTTGTACCAAAAATGTCAATATATATCTTTCATTAATAAAATTTTACTGTATTAATTATTTACAAGTATATTATAATTTTTTGTTCATTATAATACATGGTTTTTATTTACAAAATTGGTTAAACAAAATTTTTTAATTAATAAAATATAATTTTTGTTTTCATTGAAAAGCTGGTTATTGCAAGCATGTTTTTAATGTTTTCATTTTCACAAAATAGAAAATAAAGGGCCAAAACAAACATATTTTCTAAATCTTAAAAATAAAAAATAAAAAAAATGTTTTCAAAAAATGAAATATATATATATATATATATAGTATTAA